CATTTTGTATGACTTAATTTTTTAGTCAATTTTATAATTTTTGTCAATTAAATGTTTTTGGTTTTTCAAAATTTTCTAACGAAATTTTTAATTTGGTATTTAACGATTATTTGTTGTTTTTGTTTCGTAATTATTTCCCACAGTTAGATATTATTTTAATTTTAAAAGAGATATTTATGTTAACTTTCAATGCCAGACTTTCCTTATGTTTACTTTTATATGAAAAAATTGTTATAGCTTTTAAAGTGTTAAGATTCTGAGAATACAAAGTTATTGATGATTTCTATTTGCACTGACAAAATAGCATAAGATGTTTTATAAAAAAATAGATATTTAAAATATGGTGCAATATCGTCAATTACAAATAAAAGGTTGTAGTTTTGTATGGCTTTATGCATTATTTTATTTAACCCTAAATAAATTGTCACTTTATAATACTTGTCACAGTTATTAATGCTTTTTAGTTTGGTACTTCTCAAGCTATATTTGTCCATACATTCTTATTAAATTTACTTGTTATGGGGAATATTGTTTCTTTTATGTCAAATTAAATTCACATACTTGAATAATGCATTTTTATTTAAACCCTTTTGGTATTTTAGATCGCATACTATTTTGTATTAAAATTATTAATTAATACTACTGTGTTATGTTTTTTTATTCACGAAATATATTATGAATTACACTTTTTATATGTTAGCTTTTTAACTATTTTTGATGTATGTATTCTTAAAAGTTATTTGTTAATCTGTGCTATTAATCAATACATTTATTTTTATTTAAAACAATAATTTTGTTAGGAAAATATTAGGAAACGGAAGGAATAGTAGGGGTAGTTTTATAAAACATATGGCAAGGAGTGGCTCGTGCTCAGTCGCAGTCTCGGCGCTTAGTCGCCAACAAGCTCAGTGTTTTACTAGTCGTCACAACGGAACATTCGATATATTTGCGTTGTCGCATTGGAGTTCAGTTTGTGTGTTTTGAAGTAATTTACAAGTGTTGTTAATATGGCTGTCCATCTATATTTTAAAGGAAGTCATTTGTTGTAATATCTGACATATAGTTAATTAATTCAATGCTTTAGTTTTATTACAATTAGGGTAAAACAGAAAACTGGCTTAGAACAGGTTGTAGTGACTAGAATAGCTGCAATAGGCAATATGCATATGACGCCAAATTATACAGACTTTTTTTAAGTACAATACATCCAGAGTTAAAGTTTTTATTAAAATATTTTACTATTCTGGTGTCAGTTGACATAAAACAAAGGAAAGTATACACTGGGTCAGGGGACCATCCCGGGAACTAGCCAGCAAGGCAATAGGACTAGGCGAATCGAACCTTGCTTTCAATCCCCTCTCTGCGAAGTGCTAAAAAAGGGGGCTTCCTAGAAATCATGTCTAGGATGCTAATGCAAAACCACACTTTTAGGCTCAAAAATATATGTAACAGTTAAACATTACAGGATGTATGTGATTTTAAATGAACATTCAAACCATACCTT